TCCCGATGCCCACCTCTCCCCCACCACCCACCGAGCGCCAGGCCCGGCCCAGCGCCCGCAAGCCCACCCTGGAGACCCGCGGGGTGGCCCTCTCTGGAAACCACTGCCTGCTGGCCCACGACGTCATGACAGAAGGAACCTGCTGACAGGGAAAGCGGAGGGAGGGCTGAGGTGGGCGCTGTTTCCGGCCCTCACGGGGAGATGACCCAGGCGAGGGCAGATGCGATGCGACATCTGGGCCGTGAAGTGGAGCAGGGTGGCCATATGGCCTCCAAGGGCATCCCAGACCTCACATCGCACTCCAGAAAAAAACAAGAGCAAAGACTTCCTGGAGACACTAGCAACATTTCCATCACCAAGAAGCAAGGGACACCGCGGCCTCCAGGTGAGGGACACATGACGTCTACATGGTACCTGGGACACGTCCGATAGCCATGAGGGCACCAGACAAATCCTAAAAGAGGCCGGCAGAAGCCTCCTAAGGGGCAGGGCTGTCTTCTTTGAAATAGGGCTTCTCAGGGACACTGAGCAGCCATGGAAGTGTCCAGACCAAAGACAGACCACAGAGACTGGCCAAGAGGGGGCCACTGTGTGCGGGGCACGTGGGGTACGACGTTAGTTAGCGAGAGGTGACTCGGGGTAAAGATCTGGGTGTTTCTCCTTCTCCTTGTTTTTGCAACATTTCATAAATTTGCGGTTTTTCCTCAGTAAAGAGCTGAAGTAAAGAAAACCCTTGCCCCCTGGCCCTACTCTGGCCTCTACGGGTGCCTGTGGAGAGCACTCCCTCGGCCTGCCTGTCACACTGCCCAATACTGTACCCGCGTGAGCCCAGGCAACACCCAGGCGGGAGTGGAGGCCCGCTTGCAGGTGGCGATGACCCACTGCTAGGATTACAGTCGTCAAGTAAACTGTCAACCCTCCCTCTGCCCAGAGGGAGCCAGCACGGTGACCGTGAACAGAAGTGGCAAAACCCCGCTGGCAAGCTCTCCCCGGAGATGCGTGGCGGGGAGACCCTTCCAGTGGGACAGCAATCACAGCCAGCGGGCTGAGCATGGGGGACACCAGGGCAGTCCTGCCCACGGAGCCCACCTACCCAGCAGAGCCACCAAGAGGAGGGGGCCTGAGGGCGGCGGGGCCGAGGCGTCTGAATGCTTGGCGACACGCCGCGGCCCCCAGAAACACTAACTTTATTTGCGTAAACACCGCAACCTCGTACTAGCCAAACACGTCGGAAGCGCACAGTGCCGAGTGGGACTCACAGCCTTTCCCAGCATTCCCTACCTTCCACTCGCTTGGGCTCCCAGGGCGACAGGGACCTGCTCACCAGATGTGCCACGCCCCCTCGGTAAGGAGCTGGCAGCAGCCGCGCACAGCAGGGCCCAACCCACAACCCGGGGAGCAAGGAGCAGAACACACAAGACAGTGCTCGGGACACAGGAGCATGGGACGTCCCGCCTCCGTGGAAGCTCGGGTGCCCGCCTCAGGGACCAGCAGCAGAGCCTGCGCCTGCACACCCGGCAGCCGTCCCTCTGCCCCTGGTTCCAGAGCCACTTTCCAGAGCTGCTTGAGCACCTTCCCATGGGGGAACTGGGGGAGCCACCACCCAGGCCACGGGGTCTCAAGACAGGCCCAACGGGCGTCCACAGGCGCACACACAGCCCCACTGCTGTGGGGCCCCCAGAGCGGGGCCTCCACCTGGCAGGGCTAAGCCAGCACGTCTCTCGTGTCCCTAGGACGTGGCACATCGTGGCATAACAAAACTAACTGCTGGAAACGTGAAGACACAAGGCTCCAGTCCACGTTCTCATTGCTGGAGTCACAAGCACAAAGTCCCCCTGTCCGACGGCTACCGGCGCTCACTCGCGTCTGTCCTCGCCGGATGTGCAGAAGCGAGGGCGCCCGGCAGCGGCGGCCTTGAGGACGGAGAACTGGGAAGCCGCTTCTCCGTCCTCATCAACGCAGGTCACCACTTCGTTTGTGGCATCGGCCTTGACTTGAGACTATACGTAGAACAACCCAAGTGGGCGAGAGGACCTGGCCAAGGAGCACACCCACTGTGTTCACGAGAAGCCACCGTACTGCACAAGTAAGGGGCCAAGTCACCTGACCAGGCACTCCGGCGGGGGACAGCGGGGCTGATCAGTTACACCAGGGGATCCAGGCGACCCTAACTCGATGAGTCCCTTCCCCTGACCATCCCCTCCCCCAGGAGGCAGCCGTAAAGTAGATAAGGCACCAGAGGAGCACACAGGGCGAAGCCGGCACGTGAGGCGGCAGCAGGCGACGGGAGCAGCAGCGGCGCCCAGGTCACGGTGTTTTGGAGGGAGA